ACCCCTGCAGGTGGCCAGCTGAAATCTTCAAGCATGAGCTTTTTGGAATATAAGACAAACTGGAAGTGAGCCCCAAGGCTGCTGAGGTCTGCCCCCTACAATCGTTAGCAACCCTGTCATACAATCACACTCAGACATGTCCAGCTCTCTCTAAAAATCTAATTGTTTGCCCATGCAACTCCTGATGGGAGGCTGTTCCAGAACTCAGCCCTTTGATGGTGAGAAACCTTGTTTTCATTTCCAGTCTGAATTTGTTCATAGCCAGTTTATATCCATTTGTTCTTGTGCCAACATTGCCCTTTAGCTTAAATAGCTCTTCACCCTGCCTGGTATTTACCCCCCTAATATGTGTGTGTATGATATATACGTCTCTACACACACACAGCTTAGCTACATATGTATATTACTGCTCTGTTGCGTTGCAGTGGCTTCTGTAATCAAAGATAAGAGGAGGCCCACTAAAGGGCTATCAAACTAAAGAAATACTACCCAATTCCTATACACTACACCATAAGAACAGCTCCATTCTTGTAAGGTGTCCTCTGCTAACATCCCCAAACTCAGGAGGTTCTCTCTGCAGGTTTAGAAATGGACAGGTTCAATACTTTGAACCCAGGCCCTTTGGTTCTTAAAATCACAGATCTCTTACTGCTCGAACAAAAGGACAAAGTCTACCAGCTAAAAGACAGAAGCTACTCATAAATTGCCCTATAGAGTCTAGCCCAGGGGTCAGCAACCTTTCAGAAGTGGTGTGCCGAGTCTTAGTTTATTCAGTCTAATTTAAGGTTTCGCGTGCCAGTAATACATTTTAATGTTTTTAGAAGGTCTCTTTCTATACGTCTATAATATTTAACTAAACTATTGTATGTAAAGTAAATAAGGTTTTTAAAATGTTTAAGAAGTTTCATTTAAAATTAAATTAAAATGCAGAGCCCCCCGGACCGGTGGCCAGGACCCGGGCAATGAGAGTGCCACTGAAAAATCAGCTTGCGTGCTGCCTTTGGCACATGTGCCATAGGTTGTCTACCCCGGTCTAGCCATTAGAGGAGGAAAAAGCATGGGTTACCCTTAACCTCCATAGGAGTCTGAAATTTCCCTTCCTCCCCACTCTTCCTTGCTCCCAGCAGATGTTTGACTCTCCAGAAGAGTCTTCTAGATTGCTTTCTCCTCTAGTAGGATTGTATATCCATAATCCTAGTAATCGAAGATGGAAATGACCTATCAGGGCACTAAGCCCATCTCTGAGGCCCACAGCAAGATTGTAGATTGTTCTCTACAGCGTGCCCCCAAAGCTTTGCCTAGTCTAATTTTAAGCATCTCAAGCAATAGGGCTTCCACCACTTCTTCTGGGAGATGATTAGAGTTGAATAGAAAAAGGGTTCTCAATCTTTTTATTTCTGAAGCCTCCACAACATACTATAAAAACTTCCCAGCCCACTTGTGCCACAACAACTGTTTTTCTACATAAAAAGCCAGGACCAGCATTAGTGGGTAGCAAGCAGGGCAACTGCCTGGGGCCCTATGCCACAGGGGGCCCTGTGAAGATAAGTTGCTCAGGCTTCAGCTTTAGCCCTGGGAGGCAGGACTCGGAACCCCGGGCTTCAGCTTTCTGATCTGGGACTCAGAAAGTCTAATGCTGGCCCTGCTTGGCGGGCCCCCTGAAACCTGATCGCATTCCCCCAGCGAGCCCCAGACCCCTGGGTGAGAACAACTGTAATAGATCTCACAATTTGAAAATACTTCCTGCTATTCAGCCTAATAAATTTTCCCTTGCTCAGTTTCATTCCTCAAAGATCCCATTACATTCTTCATTGGAGAAGTGGTGTCCTAACCAAATTCAGCTTGAGCAATTAAATTCTGCCTATATACATTCATGGTAAATTCGGGGGATACAAGGATCCCTTTGTTCAGCCAGTCTTGCTGTCCCATTTGTTCCTCTCTCACATCTCTCTATGAATTTTTCCACACTGCCCCGAGTGCTTAGAATAAGTGCCCTATTCCACTACACCAAGTTGCCATCATCTCCTCATTCAAATCATTTGCACAAGAAGTCAGATTACAATCGTTAGGGGGGGGGGGGAACCACCAATGAATCTTCAGCTGTGGATTTCTCAGTGCATTCTGTTTTCTACATGCCTGTCTTGAAATAATAATTCTTCAACACTCATATTAAACTGTTGCAAAATTTTGCTCTGTACCATTAAACAGTTACAGAATTTGTAAGCCTGCCTCTCACGAGCAAGGAAGTGGGTGGGAGATCATTGTTTGTTTACTCCTGGAAGACACTCAGAAGCTTTTGTAACGGGCACCAGAACAAGAAACTAGGGGTAGAATGTGATGGTGGCATCGTTCCTCTGTACAGTTTGTAAGGTGTACTGGGAGCTATATAAAATTATTATTATTTAGCTACAAATTCAGCTTTAAAGAGGTGTTCCGTTCTCTCCATTTTTTGCTGAGTTGGAGAAAGAAATGAAGAGTCAATGTGAGTTTAGTTTCGCAAAGTGCACCAATGTAAATAAATTTAGGAATATTTTTGTAATTACTTGATGAAGCTGTGACATTTTCTTTTGCAAGAGATCTTGAAAATGGTCATAGGCCACTTTTGGCCCAAGCAGTAACAAAACAGAGTGATAGTTAAATTTTATTGTTCTTCAGATGAAAATTTGTTTACAAGAGGATGTGGTCTGTTCTGTTCTGGCTTGGTATTTAATGGTTTACCAGTTACAGTTCATGAGTAACATCTGTGTAGATGGCTTATAATTTCTGTGCAACAAGAATGGGCTTGGAAACTTGCTGAAAGGACTTCTGAAACTGATTTCTATTTGATTTCATATAGGTTACCTGTGACAAAATTATTTCACTCTATTTTTCTGAAATATCAAAAAAATATTTGTATAAATGATCTTAGAAATATAGTATTTCCATTACATTTAATTTAAATTTCCATACCTAAGCCATTTTTTTCTCACTTCCTCATTTCCTTGTAAAGTCATGTATCTTGGTTTTAGAATTTCAAGCATCCAGTCAATGTGTCTGTCTTTCTTGAACACCCACGTCTGCTGTCTCTCCTCTATTATATTCATGTTCTGTTCTGATTATTTTTATCATGTGGTAAACAGGTTATACAATGGCTGAAACAAAACAAGACAGGTTCAACAAACTGGTTGAAACTATAGTAAAGAACAAAATTGTCAGGACACATAGATTAACATAATTTGTTGGTGAAGAGTCAACATGATTTTTGTAAAGGCAAATCATGCCTCCCCAATCTACTAGAATTCTTTGAGGGGGTCAGCAAGCATGTGGACAAGGGGGATCCATTGGATATAGTGTACTTGGATTTTCAGAAAACCTTTGACAAGGTCCCTCAACAAAGGCTCTTAAGCAAAGTAAGCTGTCATGGAATAAGAGGGAAAGTCCTCTCATGGATTGGTAACTGGTTAAAACATAGGAAACAAAGGGTAGGAATAAATGGTCATTTTTCAGAATGGAGAGAGATAAATAATGGTGTCCCCCAGGAGTCTGTACCAGGATCAGTACTGTTCAACATATTCATAAATGATCTGGAAAAAGGGGTAAACAGTGAGGTGGCAAAATTTGCAGATGATACAAAACTACTCAAGATAGTTAAGTCCCAAGCAGACTGCAAACAGCTACAAAAGTATCTCACAAAACTGGGTGGACTGGGCAACAAAATGGCAGATGAAAATCAATGTTGATAAATGCAAAGCAATGCATATTGGAAAACATAATCCCAACTATACATATAGAATGATGGGATCTAAATTAGCTGTTACCACCCAAGAAAGAGATCTTGGAGTCATTGTGAATAGTTCTCTGAAAACATCCACTCAATGTGCAGCGGCAGTCAAAAAAAGCTAACAGAATGTTGGGATCATTAAGAAAGGGATAGATAATAAGACAGAAAATATCATATTGCCTTTATATAAATCCATGGTATGCCCACATCTTGAATACTGCATGCAGATGTGGTCACCCCATCTTAAAAAAGATATATTGGAATTGGAAAAGGTACAGAAAAAGGCAACAAAAATGATTAGGGGTAAGGAATGGTTTCCATATGAAGAGTGATTAATAAGACTGGGACTTTTCAGCTTGGAAAAGAGATGACTAAGGAAGGATATGATAGAGGTCTATAAAATCATGATGACCAGTGTAGAGAAAGTAAATAAGGAAGTATTATTTACTCCTCCTCCTAACACAAGAACTAGGGGTCACCAAATAAAATTAATAGGCAGCAGGTTGAAAACAAACAAGAGGAAGTATTTTTTCCACATAACACACAGTCAACCTGTGGAACTCCTAGCCAGAGGATGTTGTGAAGGCCAAGACTATAACAGGGTTCAAAAAAGAACTAGATAAGTTCATAGAGGATAGGTTTATCAATGGCTATTAGCCAGGATGGGCAGGAATGGTGTCCCTAGCCTCTTTTTGACAGAAGTTGGGAATGGGCGACAGGGGATGGATCACTTGATGATTACCTGTTCTGTTCATTCCCTCTGGAGCACCTGGCATTGGCCACTGTCGGAAGATAGAATACTGGGCTAGATGGACCTTTGGTCTGACCCAGTTTGGCCGTTCTTAAGTTCACCTACCTGTCCATTGGGAATCAGACTGAAACCACCTACTTATTTCAGATGCAGAGAATGCCATTGAGTTGTGTCTTCCATAATAATAAAATTATTACAAGGGTTTTAACCCTCAACTCAGAGGATTAAACCAGGGGTCCGGTAGGAAGGGAACTGGCAACAGGATAGAGAGAATTTCAGACCCTGCAGTATCTGGCAGTTTGCCCCTGGGCAGTAGTAGTAAAATTCTTTGCCTCTGACAACTGGTGGCCTAAGGGCAATTATTTATCATTTTTATTATGGTAGCAACTCGTGGTTTGAGTTGGTATCTTAGTCTAGTTTTAAATACAGGCAGGTGCCTACATCACAAACATCAACACCACAACTAGCAAAATTAAGGAAATAGGGCACGTTTTATTAAAAATCAGAAAGGTGCAAACATTTATACAAGCCTATCTACAAATTAAGTTTCAGCCACCAGCCTTCTGGCAAGTTGACAGTCCATCCCCTTCTGTTGTACAGTGATGTTCTTGCTTTACATTCTGTGATGAGGCAGCATCGCAATAGGGGGCAGGACTGACTCCCCCGTGCGTTGGTAATCCATGGTGGTTGTTCCCTGGTCTGGAGAAGATTTAATACAAGAGACACTGTTAGGGAAAGAATCCTTTTATGAATGAGCGTTTATAGGAGAACAAATGAACAGTGTTAATCTAAACACACATGCTGAGCACCAGGATTGGCATGTCTGCAGCTACACTGAGCTTTTTGCCCTTCTGCTCCATGGAAGGTTTCTATCTTTCCTGATCTTGCCTTCAGACACCTTCACTAGCTTTTGGCAGTTTTACTGCCCCGGTCAAACTCCCCACCTGACACTGGAGTTGGTCAGGGCTCACCCTGTAGCTGCACTGAAGGAACAACGCAGTGGTCTGGGAACTGAGCTCAAGTAGAATGCATTAGAATCCTTTGGGGAGCATGCGGACATTTGTCAAAACACTTCTAGGCCTGATTCTACAGCAATTCAACTACAATAGGTCTATGGTAAATCATTGGTTCGACTTTAGATTACTACAGCAAAACCTTCCTGGCAAATAAACTAGACAAGTTCTGGCAATGCTGGCAATACTTGGTGCTGCTGTTAATGCATGTTACTCATATACAATGTATGAAACAAAGTTTACCAACAGAAGCAGGAGGAGAGCCTTTTCAGGAGAGCAACTGTCCAATTTTTTCTGGCTTCCTGTGCCAATCTGATAGAAACAAAGGGCATGTTCAGATACTACAATAATGAGCGCAGTATAAATGTGTAGTGGGACAGGTGCTATGGACAGAGTTTCAGGACAAATTACAAACCCTTGAGTGGGTAACAAAGAGGAAATACAGGTCAGAACTAAAGCAAAAAGACCCCCAAAATCTCTAGGAGAAATACCCTCTACCTTTTCACTGTGACCTAAAACATAACATATCCCAGGTGCCCCCGCTGTATCCTCACTGTCAACTACTCCAATATCTTGGAGGAGCTCAACAGTGACTCCCCTCAGGCTGATTAAACAGCTGCCATTCTTTCAGAGTTACCATGAGAAGCTGTAGTAGAAGTGGCTTCTCAGTGAGAAGGACTGTCTGTGCGGTGCAGGCCAGTTCATCTGCTCAAAGATGGCAAAGATATTTCTACCAATTGAGGGTTCTTCGTCAAACAGCAAATAGGCAAGAGCTGAAACAAAGAGCACAAATGGAGGTCAGGAAACCCAAAGAAATGGGTCATTGCCCCCAGATATTGTAGGGGATCATGCATCTTCACCATCCAATATCTTGGGCCATCCAGAAGCCTCCATACGTTCCTATGATCAATACTACCACCTAGAGGGATCCCATAGGGGATTTACACAGAGGGGTGTCTTCTCATTTTGCCCTGTCCAGACTTTATACTCTTTCTAAAAGTCACATTGTTATTACTGCACAAGGGACAGTGAAAGGGAATGAATATTTGTCTGGGGTGGATTGATCTGAAATATTTCCACTCCCTGCCCCTCATTGCAGACCCCCAGGCATGCAACAATAAAAAGCATATGCAGATGAGCATACAGACATGCCTCTACTCATGTAAACATAGACACTCAAAGAAGTTCACTCACCAACTCCAGAAAATCTATTACAAAAGAAACTGGGGAGGGGGGAAATAACAGAAGTTCCATCTCTTGCAAACAGAAGAATCTCTATGAGTCAGCATCAAGATTTACATATTGGACCTGCAAATTAGACCTACGAGAGGCCTCTATCACTAAGCAAAAGGAGTATCTGACCCTATATGGCCCATGATTGCTAAAAGGGACCTGACATACATTGCCTGTGGGCTACACAAATATTTGCTAGAAACAGAATAGTGGGAATCAGGATTCCTGGGTTCAGTTTGTGGCATTGGGAGGAGAATGTAGTCTACAGCAGCGGTTACTGAAGTTCTTACAAAGTGGGTAGCCAAGCACATACCTTTGACATATTCAATATAAAAGATAGCCTGACTGAGTATATGAGAGCTACAGTTTGCCATTTTGGGGACTTGATCTCTATTCCAGGCGGTGCCAGAAGTGACCTTGTATGACTTCTTTTCACAATGAACCTCCTCCAGCCTTCTCCTGGGAAATGCACACAAACACTTGCTCTCAATTTCCCACCACTACTGGGAAAGGTATGGGTGCTGAAAGAGGGTTGCAAACACATAAGGGAAGTGTAGGATGCTCACAATCCTATGAGGGTGCCTGCACATCTCCAGTGGGGTGAGAACGAGAGGAAGCATAAGTCAGGGGCTACTGGTAGATGGAGATGGGGGAAGGTGTTTAGAAATCCCAGTTTCAGCTCAGGACTAAGAGCACCTCCTACACTGGGCTGATCACACATTGCTGGAGGCCTGGCCTTATCCATATGAGGGGGCCCCAGAACAGAGCCAGAGCCCTGGAGGCACGCTCATTCGCACCCTCCTGTGCAGGGTCCCCACAATGTTGTTTGTGCTTCAGGTTTCTCCTGGCTTATTAAAAAAACTTATAATTTAAAAACAACTTTTCATAATTCCTGATTAAACAGGACCGCTCTGTTCTTTAGCCCCTTGCTATCCATTCTGGAGATCCCAGGTACACATGTATGGATGTTTCTAGCCTTTACTGAAGTCAGCAGAGATTCACCAGTGACTAATTTGACTCAAACAAATGAAACATTCTGATATGAAGAAGTGGACTTGGACTTGCTTCTCTACCCCTTTAACTAGAACAGAGATAGATGAGCTAGAAAAGAATATCACTTCTGTACTATAACAAGCTTGCAGGCTAGAACAAGGTTTCCCTCGCCGTCCTTTTTATTATGGCAACAACAACATAAAAACCAGGAGATGGTTGGTTTTGTCCACTAGTGCCAGAACAGGAAAATCTAACTTCAGAACAGGAAAATCTAACTTCAGCTTCTATCAGTACTTCTGCTGTTCTTACCTGTTTCTTTACATGATTTCCAGGCTCCTTAACGCCCGAGGTTAACATTGCTGTAGCTGTCTGTACAGCAGTTGTATCTATTATAGCAGTAGCTATTCCTCAGAACCCCGAAAGAAGCGTTTTTGAGAACATGTGCACTGTAACAACTTATACAAAAAAGGATCTAGTCAAAAGCCAAGTGTTCTGAGGTAAGTTTCATGCCCCAGGCTATGTTATTAAAATCTCAAAGCAGGAGCTAGGTTTCCCTTAGTCTTTTGTAAGAAAGTTCTTTAAATGATTTAAATTGTGTAGGGAGAGGACCCAGAACATGCAGGATGCAGAGCCTTGAGCATACAGGATGGACTTGGTATAGAGAGGCCAGAGGATGCAGAGGGTGGGGTGACTAAGTACTGTGGTGAATCTGCTGAACAACAGAGTCACTATTCTCTCTCCTCTCTTGGAAGGAGAATGTTCAGCAAGGAGAGTGGAAAAGCAGATCATGTCCCATATCCTTGAGGAAAGGGAGCCAGAAACCTTTTAGAAGGGTCTGTCCCTAGACGAGAATTCTCTCCCTGGGAATTCTGCAACAGTTGGAGGCAGCCTGAGCAGTGAGAGGTGTGGCCAGGAAAACCCAGCAGGGGAGTGGGCCATTAGTAGCAGAAGCTGAACCTGTGGAGAAGTAGCTGGCTGGGGATAAAGGACACTAAAGCCAGAGCGAACTAAAAAGGGGCCTGAAACATGAACACAGCAGCCACTTTTCCTAGAAGGGCTGTAACATCTAATAAAGTGTGTGCAGCCAAGATGTTCAGATGCAATGGATTAGCCTGGAGTAGGAGTCTGATCTGAGCAGGTGTTTGGCACAAAGCAAAGCGGCAGCTATATTCACCAAAAACAGAGGTAGACCACACAATGAGGATTGTGGGGTGTGTGGACTGTACCTCCAGGGAAAGCAGCCTGCAAGCACGTATAAGGTAGCTGGCTACATATGGATAAGAGGATGAAAATGCAGCAGCAGAGAGGTCCCCAACAAGAACACTCATTACAAGATTGAATCCTGGGCAGGGAGACTTCAAGGCCAATACCTAACTGCTCTCTGATAGAAGGATTCATAAGAAGAGGCACCCCAAGTACTAGGCCCAAGGCTTCTCTCTGGTGGACTGCCATGAGGTGCCAAGATCAGAATGGCTGTGTTTATCTTTTATCATTACTCAGACATTTTTTGCTGTAGTGAGCCAAAGATCAGAGAAGTGTTCTTACATTACCAGGATTTTAAAATATATTTTAGAAAAATATCACACCGCGTGACTCAGTAAAGCCAATCAAAACTGGCCATAGAAAAGGGACCTATAGTGAACAACAACAACAAAACAAAAAGCTTGTATTGACAAAAATGGAAAATTGAGAAAAATCAAACTGTTTTCATAAAACTTTCCGTTTTCCAAAAATGGCCAAGTTTTGTCCCAAAAAAATTCAAATGATTTTGAACAAACAGAAAACAAACCCTACCTGAAGCAGTTAGCCTCCCACTGAGAAATGAGGACACTGCTGGACTACTGGTTATAATGCCTTAGAATCATAGGATTGGAAGGGACCTCGAGAGGTCATCTAGTCCAGTCCCCTGCACTCATGGCAGGACTAAGTATTATCTAGACCAGCCTTATAAGCTTTAACAATGATTCAGAGCCAAACTGATACCATTTTTAATAACACTTTAAAAAACTCTCAGCTACCACCTATCCCCCCAATCCCATCCAATGATTCCAAGATATTCATCTCCCTAGAAACCATTTGTTAATTAAGACCCAACAAATCCTTGGGGTATCCAAATTGACCTCAATGTGATATATTTGTCATTTAATTATTACCCCTTATTTACACAGACTTTCAGTAACTTTTGAGCCCCATCTGAATTCTACTGTACAAGTAAAATTACGAGACTGCTGAATGTTTTTACTAAAATATTACATCTGCTGTTTCCTTACATTTGCTGCTCACTATGTCACCTCTAGCTGCTTATAAATTTCTCCTCATATTGGTTCTAATACTTTTTCATAGATTTAAGGCCAGAAGGTGCCATTATGATCATCTAATCTTACCTTCTGTATGACACAAGTCATGAATTTCACTCAGTAATTCCTGTACTTGTGGTTGAACTACAGCATAGCTTTTAGAAAGACACCCAATCTTCATTTAAAGACGCCAAGCAATAGAGAATTTATCATTTTCCAGGGTAACCTATTCTAAAAGTTACTCTCAACCTTATTTCCAATTTGAATTTTTCTAATTTAAATTTCCAGCCTTTGAATCTTGTTATGTCCCTCTGCTAGATTAAAGGGTCCCGAATACCAGTTATCTTCTCCTTGTAGACCATGATATCACATCACCACTTTCTAAACATTCTCTTTTGGTATACTAAACGTATCTAGCTCTTGTGAGGCACATTTTCCATTTTAAGGAACAAAGTTGGACTTACCTATAATAACTGACAGATCGACTGTAAGAGATCACTACCACATTGGCTTTTTTGAATTTGGTATTTTCTCCTTTCAATGATTTAAAATAAATCACTGAACATTAATTCCTTCTTCAAAGCACCTCAGCACATTAGAAAAAAAATTGGTCATCTACCTAATTAAAAAAATTAAAATTGAACTAGAGATATTTGAATACTATACAGTGAATACGCTGTTGAACCAACTAAGTTTGTATTTTGTAGTGGCCAAATAGCACTAACTACTGAATGTTATTTTACCAATGCAGTCAATACTTATTCAATAAAATTACTTTTCTGGTAGTTGGGCTGATCTACACTACTCCGGTAAATCGATATAAGTTATGCAACTTCAGTCACATGAATAACTTAACTGAAGTAGACCTGGTTAGATCCACTTACCATGGTGTCTACACTGCACTGTGGCAACAGGAGCGCGTCTCCCGTCGATTTCCCTTATGCTTCTCGGGGAGGTGGAGTACACAAATCGATGGGAGAGTGCTCTCCCATTGATTTAGTGTGTCTTCACCAGACCCACTTAATCGACACTCACTGCATCGATTACAGCAGTGCCAATCTACTGGTAAGTGTAGACATGGCCTAGCTGCAGCTTTAGCTGTCCTCCACATCATCCAGTACACCATGCACAACTGTACTGTTAGAATTTAATGTATGCTCATCAGAATAGAAAGACTTCATCTGCACACTGTGGTAAGCACACACTCAGTGTCCCACCCATTTAATCATCATTTTATTTTATTTCCCCACCCTTATTTGCTAATCAGCCAACTTTTTCTTTCCCAATAGATTTGTGGAAGTCTTTATCCCTCTTCAGGTAACTTTTTCAGACCTTTTCTTTTCCCTAGAAACTTTTGTTTCATTCCTTTCACCTTTCTCCCCTGCCCCTTTGCAATCCATTTAAAAAAATGTTTTGAGCCTGACTCAGCCATGTTTACTACTTTTTAAAAAAAGTTCAGAGGAAATGCAAGCTCTTGTGGCTTGAACGTGGTGTCTTAAAATTCTCCAGATCTCTGCCACATTTATGCATTTTAATACTTTTGCCTACTGCATATGCCACCAGATTTCCCTAAACTGTATTCTTGAAAATTAAATACCTTGGTACCTATTGCAGTCTGTGATTCAATTTCCATAAGATGCTGAATCTAAGTGGCCCATGATTACGAACACTAAACTTCACTAAAATTCCAACTCACCACTAGTTCCTGTTGAACAAGTTTCTGCAGCCCAGCATCTCCCACAAATATGCTACACATAGACCGTTCCTCACTACAGTTCCTGGAGGTTGTTCAAAAATGGCCATGCCCCCTCTCCCACTTGCCACCAGATTTTCTGCATCCACAGCAGCAGCAAAGTAACAGCTCACTTTGCTCCCATCCTTTTCTTTTATATTTGTTATTTTTAGCTGTTTTCAGGCAGGAGTGAGTGTTATTTTTAATTCAAGCCTCCTTGCCTACGTTTTGAGTAATGCAGTGGTCATAGCTGTGACAGATACTGCAATTTCCTGCAATAGCCTCAGAAGACCTTATTGTATTAAGTTTCCATATCATTGTGGGCCAGGATTGTATGTAACCCCTCTAGGGGGAGATGTGACAGATATGAAACCTGAGAATTCAAAAGACTATATTCAAAATGCTCCAAACAAATATGAACTTTTGGGACAATAGGTTTTAAGTGAATTTCCTGGAAAATCCCTAGGAAGAGGCAAATTATCTCAGGTTATGCAAAAACCCTGCCTTTGGAAGCTATGCTGTGAGGAAAGGGTCATTGTCTGCAGAAAAGCCTTAGATCTGACCAGCTTTGTGATCTGGATCTAAGACGGATGAACTTGTAACCACAGGAACTGTGGGTTTTGAAGGACTAAAACCTACCAGAGCCCGGGGTTAGAGTTGGGGGAGGGGGGGATCCTCTGGTAGACTTTCTTGTATGTGTTGTGACAGACCCAGACCAGTGGGGTACAGGAGTCTGGTAGAGGGCAAATATACTGGTCACTGGATGAGTAGTTTTCTGTTCCCTGAGTGACCAGAGCAGGGGCTGCAGTAGAGTAATCAGGAACCTGCTATAACCAGTTAAGGCAGGCAGGCTAATTAGGACACCTGAAGCCAATTAAGAAGAATTGCTAGAATCAATTAAGGCAGGCTAATCAGGACACCTGGGTTTTAAAAGGAGCTCACTTCAGTTTGTGGTGTGAGTGTGAGGAGCTGGGAGCAAGGGGTGCAAGGAGCTGAGAGTGAGAAGGTGTGCTGCTGGAGGACTGAGGAGTACAAGCGTTATCAGACAACAGGAGGAAGGTCCTGTGGTGAGAATAAGGAAGGTGTTTGGAGGAGGCCATGGGGAAGTAGCCCAGGGAGTTGTAGCTGTCATGCAGCTGTTACAGGAGGCACTATAGACCACTGCAGTCCACAAAGCCCTGGGCTGGAACCCGGCATAGAGGGCGGGCCCGGGTTCCCCCCAAACCTCCCAATTGACCTGGACTGTGGGTTCTTCCAGAGGGGAAGATCTCTGGGCTGTTCCCCAACCCACATGGTGAACCTCTGAGACAAGAAAATCCGCCAATAAGCGCTGGACCCACCAAGATAGAGGAGGAGCTTTGTCACAGTGTGTAGTTTTTTTTAAATTGTTTTAATGTTTTTTTCTGTAATGCTTTTACCTTGAGAATAAATATGCTTGCTTAGGAGCTGTATGGTAACTTATAACTACAGGCAATACACTGGTCAGAGCCCTTGGAGAGAAGGCAAAATGCAGGTGCCGCTCTTTTAGGCAGTCTGGCTTGCTGGGGATATCACAGTGTAAGGCAGGGAGGGAGTGGGACACGGGTCTCTGACCAAGAGAGGTGATGGCTTGGAGCTAGAAGCCTAAAGTAGGTGTCACTCTTGGACCATAGAGGGGGAATACAGGTTCAGTTGAAACTGTGACAATAGACAGCTGGTGCCTCTGCTGCAGCACCTCCATAGATATCCCTCTGTCTGCCTTCAGCAAAGTACCAGGCAAAATCTAAAAGGTGCTTTATATGCGAGATACCTTTCACTGGCTTAGAAGGTGAATTATGCCCAGGCTGTTTCGAGGCAGCCAACCCTAACTCCATCAGGGCATGGGGCTCTGAGTGAGACAGGCATGTTGGGTCCCCTATCACCCCAAGAATCTGCAACTCTGCCACAAAACAGCCTGACCAGGAGAGACAGATCAGATCAGGGTGAGACTCTAAGGATGAGGATGACTTCATCTAGCGGGCCCAGGGAATAAGTCCTTGGGCAATGCAGGACTGCAAAGATAAATCCCTTGTGAAGCTACCAGTCTCCCCATAAGCCCTAAAATGGGTCTAGAATTCTTTGGAAAGAGAAGTAGGGGTAATAAATAGCCCTCCTCCTTCCCAATCCAAATCAGGAGACTTGAATCTTGAAGGGGAGGACACAGAGAAATTTCTAAAGGGCTTTGTGTAAGGCAAACAGCAAAAGACTGCTCTGGCCACAGCCATGTAGCCACGCCCAAAAAGCATGCCAAAAAATAAAAAAAAAGCCCCAAAAGAGCAAAAAGGGAATGAAATAATACAAAAAATTCAGGAAGCCTCTAACTCAGACCCCTGCTCCTGTATTGAAGGAGGAGAGCTTTTGGACTCTGAATCTGAGCAGGACTTGAAAAAAATCCAATACATTTTCCCCTCCTCTCCAAGATGTTTGAGGCCATGCGCAAAATGATTGTGTCCAAAATCCAGATCCAAGCTGAGCAAGCTCCTGAGGATATGCCTCAAAGCAAATATCTTCTCTCAAACTCCTCCCCTGAGGTCGTGATTCCCTTGCACTCCTCCTTAGAGGATGCGATCAGAGTAGTGGGGAAAACCCAACAAGGGTATATGCATTAACAGGCAAGACCTTAGATTCTATAAACTGCAAGAGACAAAATATAATATTACCAAAGTCCCAAAGGCTGGTTATCCCATCAGAAGGAAGAATTCTTCCTAAGACCCCAACAGACAGGAAGCTGGAAGCTACCCTAACAAAGGGACTTTGAAGCTTCATCAGCACATCTCTCACAGCCACATGCTTTGTGAGAGCTACCATATCCTGGCTGGAGTACCCTAGGAACCTGGAGGACCAAGATCACCCTAGCTTCAGCTCCATTCTTAAGAAAACTTCCCAGGCAACAGTATTCTTGGCGGATGCCTCAATGGATGCAATTTTCAGCCTTGGCTATAGCATCCTGCTCAGCAGCCATTCAACACCTATGGCTCCACCCGTGGAAGGTACATGCTCACTCCAAACAAGTCCCATGTTCCTCTAATTTCACAGGATCTCTCCTCTTTAGAGAAAAACAGGTTACATAGTGGCAGAAAATGCTGCTAAATCTAAGCTAGGCCCTCCCCTCTCTGCTGAGTGCTCTAAGAAGAGAGTACAAACCTGCTTTTAGGCAGAGCCACTACTTTTACCTATTCTCCTCAGAGGAGTACCAGAGGAAGAATAGCAGCTTTATCAAGGGCAAGTCTCAGAACCCAGGATTGAGGAGAAAACCCACAGTTGGTCCCACAATGTCCAAGAGCCCAGCATGACGAGGAAATGTGCCTCTAGCCAAACTTGAATCTAGAAGGCAGAATTTTCCACTTTTCAGAGGAAAGGAGTAAATTGACTATAGACCAGTGGATAAGAGGGAGAGTGAATCAGGGATACTCCCATAAACTACAGGCTCCATCCCATTCCTTTTTTATCCAGTTTCCCAGCTCCAGTGACTCTGCCAAGCACAAACTGTTCCGGAATGAGATCTCCTGGACATAGCAGCACTAGAAGGAGTTCCCTCATAAGAAAGGTTTTCCGGGATCTACCTCATCATCTTTATTGTTCAGAAGTGCACTGGGGGGAGAGAAACCATTATCAGCTTCAAGAGATTCAACAAGTGGAAGAAAACAAAATTCCACAAGGAGACCCTAGATTCTACAGTCTCATCCCTAATTTAAGGGGACCTCCTAACCTTAGTGAACCTGGCAGATACATATCTCAGTGTTCCCATATGCCAGTGCTCCACAATCTACTGAGATCTCCTTAAGGCACAGATCACTACCAGTACCGAATGCTCCCATGCAGTCTCTCATTAGCCCTGATGGTCTTCACAAAGATGCAAGTGGTGATCATAGCCGGATTCAGGTTGCAGAGTACTCACCATTACCCTTTTCTGGACAACATTCTGATCAGAGCTGTGACCCAGACTGGAGAGCACAATGCTATGATTTGGACTCGATCTCCTGTAAGTGCATGGCTTTATAATAAACATCAAGAAAAGTTCCTTGATTCCCTCAACAAGGATAACTCACCTAGGTGTGGACATAGACAGCTTGGAGGCAAAAGTCTACCCATCACTTGACAGATTCCAGTAGATCCAGTATCTCATATCTATACTGCGAAAGAGCATGAGGCCAACTAATGCTCAACTGTCCTCAGTTAGTGGGCCCCCCGGTCGCATAAATATGCATAGGGATCACCCCAAGAGTGTGATTGCACATAAAGTGTCTGACATATTACTGAAAGTATGGGACCACTCCCTGGAATGCATGATGGATCACATGCTGGTCCCAAAGCAGGTATTCAAGACCCTAAGATGATGGGCAGTCCCAAGGAATGCTCACGAGCATATTCCCATATGTCTTCCAGACCCTCTGGTTCACACAACTGATGCCAGCCTGTAGAGCTGGTGAGCACATCAGGGACCCGGAAACACTCAAAGCATCTGGAGCCGCAACAGAAAGCGACCACAGGATCAATCTCCTAGAGCTCTGCGCCTTCAGACCGCCCCTATGAAGGTGCCAGAATCATCTAGTAGAAAATCATGTCCTGGTCCAGACAGACAACACAATTCCAGTTGCATACATAAATAGGTTATAAGGACAGGGAACTCAGCACTACATGCAGAAATAATGACAATAATGAGATGGGCAGAAAAGTCTCTCCCTTCCCTAAAAGCGATTCACACAAAAGTGGAGCTGAACAAAAAGGCAGACTGGCACAGCAGATGCAAAGTCAACAACTCAGAATGGTGTTTGAACCAGAAAGTCTTCAACTGATCTTGCAGTTGTTTGGTCTTCCAGCACCCGAATACAAAATGTCTAAAGTACTTTGCCAAGGAAGCATACCCTAAGTTCTTAGGAACACATGCCTGCAGTATTCATTCCCACCTTTCCCATTCACAGAGCAAATGATCCAAAAGATACAGTGGGAACAAGCAAAGATGACAGTGCTAGCTTTGTAGTGGCCAAGGAGACCCCGGTTTGCTGGTCTGATAGAACTGAAACTGGAATCACTGTCACGGCTACCAGCAATACTAGACTTCTTTTTCTGAGGTATATTTCCCCAACTGGACCCAGACCGTCTTCATCTAACAGCTTAGCTTTTGAAAAGAAAGCATCAGTAGCACTTGGCCTGTCTTCCAAGGTGACTGGGACTTCACTCTCATCCAGGAATCTCTACCTTAAATACCCATTCCTCCATCTGGACCAAGTTCTGTATCTGGTGCAGGCGCACACAGACCCAAGAGACCCAGGGATTCCAGCTATCCTGGGCTTTTTCCAAGAAGGTGTGGATTAATGTCTTTAACCCACCACCATAGCACGTCAGGTATCAGTGGTTACTAGCATTCTATTCACAGGATCCTCAGGATCCTTGGTAGTGAACCCCCAGGTTTCTAGATTTTTCAGCAGTCAGACTGGCCAGACCAGCCATCAGACCAATCTTCCTTCATTGGGATCTACCATTAGCATTGAACACCCTGACCACTCAAGCCTTTTGAGCCTCTGGCTTCAATATCAGCGTTCTTCTCTCCATCAAAACCAGTTTTCTGGTTGCCATTGCATCTGGTAGGCAAGTTTCTGAGCTGGCAGACTTACCTGTGCAGGGACATTACTGCATGTTCCACAATGACAAAGTGGTGCTGAGAACTCCAGAATCTTTTCCCCCCAAACTGAAATCTCCTTTCCATACCTCACAGGAGGTTATCCTTCATTCTGCTCAATGACCACAGCAGCTGACCAAGAAACTGTGGCACACTTGAGACATCAGAAGGGCGCTGAAGAGTTATATCTAGTATACAGAATCCACAAGGAGATCATGCACCATTTGTCTCCTTCCATCCAAAGTGTCAAGGACCCAGAGCCTCCAAGCTATCCCTCAGACTGGATCAGACTGTGCATTATTGAGGCCTACTAGGCATCAGGCATTTCGCTCCAGAAGGAATCAAGGCACATGCCACAAGACTCATGGCGACCTTGTGGGCTGAATAAGCACATTCTTTCACTGCTGAGATATGCAGAGTGGTCACTTAGTGATCAGCAAACACCTTTATAAGACACTATAAAGTGGACTTCATGTCTTCTGCAGAGGCCTTTGGAAGGAAGGTGCTGCAGGTTGTGGCCCAGTAAAAGCAATCTTTATGGGGGGAGAAGGAGTGTCTCCTTACCTCATTCTGTTTCAATCTATCTTTATCCCTCCTCACTCCAGTTCACGGCTTACTACTTCCCATGCATAGCAGAATTGTGGGAGACGCTGGGCTGCACAACGGAAAATGTCTTGCCCGATAATTTCCTTTCTATTAGCAGCATCTCCCACAATTCTACCCACCGTGGATAGCTTTACAGGCAAGGGTCACCATTTTATATGGATTATTACTATGCAGGCAGTCATCTGCTGTACATAATGAATTGGCATGTTATTGTTACTAATATTCTTCTATGAGTTTTACACAGCTTTGGAATGACTAATCTGGCAGCAAGCAGGAGAAGGAGGCATAGCCAGCAAACACTGTGCTGCAGCTTTGAACTACCGCTGGGAACTGCAGAGAGGAGGGAAACAGCCCATGGGTAGCAGAATTGTGGGAGATCCTGCTAACAGAAAGGAAATTATTTGGTAAGAAATTTTCCATTTCTCTCATTACAACACACTAATTATTAATATAAATAAAAATAAGCAATTCTACACAGCTCATTTTTGAGCTATTCCATTGCGAAGATGGACAGGAAGTCAAATCTCTTCCATTTAAAGAAGATAAAACGTATCTAGGAAGAGTAAACTGAAAATAATTTCAAGCACATACCTTTGGTAGGTAGCGACAGAGATTGTTTGTTGGACATGGGAACTTAAAGAGTACATGTTTTATTTTAGTAGAGCTATGATAAGGATGTGACGCGTAATCACGAAAGTAAAGGAAATTTAATGGATGACAATCTACTTTCAGCTACTGTAGCTGAAACACAAAACAGTCTGGACTTCAGGTGCAGTATCAAAAACCTATTATCTTGTAGATTTCTAATGAAACTAGTTACCAATTCCAGCATATTCACCAAAGATCATAAATCAAACAATTTAGGGCCTCAATTCACAACTGGTTTGGGAAAGGATTAGGAAAGAAGAAAATCTGAACTTAAGTTTAATGCAGAGAGGTGGGAGTTAGGATATCAGCATTCTTTTCCTATCTACCCAACAGACTTCGTGTATATCTGTGGGCAAGGCAGTTAACACGTGCCTCAGTTTACCAATCTGTAAAATATTTACCTTTCATAACAGAGGTGTTGTGAGCCTTCATGTTTGTAAAGGCTCAATGAAAGGAAGTGACACTATGTAAGTGCAAAATATAATTTCACTACAGATATAACCCTTAGTTTCATGGATCTCTCTAAAAATTTCTTTGCAGCTATCTTAAAACAAGAACACCACAATATAAACTTTTCTGTCAAGAAACCAAAATTGGGCCAGAACTTAAACTGTGTAATATGCTATGAGTATTAAGATAAATTTAACACTTCATTTGGTTTTTTTTAAATCTGTTTGTAGAAAAGAGAGCAGCCATCTAAAGTTACATAGAGATAATAAATTTAGCGGGGAGCCATACTTTATGGCAAAGTTGTAAACGTCTTATAGTGTAGCAACAGAAATACTGAAAGGGGCTTTCTTCTCTCCTCCCTTTAGCTCGGCCTATGACTGGGAAATCCAATATATTGTAAGACCACGAGTGACAACAGCTTGGCACAAGCCACTGGGTTTCATCTCATCTGCATAGAATTTGAAATCCATTTTTATGAACAGTAAATATATAGACCAGGCTCATACTAACCCCTTCAATGACAGATGACTAGAAAAGACAGCTTGCCTGAATCTACTAGCAATAAAATCTGCAGCTGATAAGCTTTGTTGTCATCTTTCTTGTCAAGCTTTGTTGTCACAGCCTTTGGGGGATGGCCATACTTTAAGTATCTCTGTTCTAGAAACAAACACAGCTATTAAAACTGAAATACCATCTAGAATGACTGAATATTTCTGTATTAATTTTTAACTAGAAAAAAGGCATAATGTATTTTCCATTTCATATATTCTTTCTTCTCTCCAACCTGAGTGCTTCTAATGTTATGTAAAATAAAGTGGAGGAATAAGTGCTTGTCACAGTATTCAATGTTGTAACTTATAGGTGATGCAGAGAAGACAATCCAATTCTTACCCAACTATGTACAGCTTTTCCATAATATTCAGGCTGAACACTTCTCTTTGCCATTTAGGCTTATAATTAACAGACAAAACAAACATAAAAATGAAAGTCACAAGGACTTTATAAATGAAGTAACTGCTAACAGAGGCTAAAAGGAGAACCAACAGCACCACCTACAGGAGACTGCAGTGTTGTTACGTACATAGATGTTCAGGACAAATATGTTCAGCTTTTTAGGTTCTGTATGTTAGTCTGATGAGCGTTTCTTCAGTTGGAATTTAAAAAACTACAATATCAACAGTAAAATCACATCTGAAAAAAGACTGACACAAAACCTGTATTATACTTTGGATGAATTATACTTACAGTAGTACTTCAGCACCAAAAAATGGGCAGTTATGCTGATAGATGTATGTACAATTGAATGAGATGTCAAAGTCTTAAAATGCTTAGTTATTTATAATGAAATCTATACAAAATGGTTAAAAAACTTTTCTATATACATTGTTTTAAAAAAAGAAAAGTATTGTCTTCATTACCAGAATGTATTAAAACGGCCTCTCGTCATTCCACCTGCACCCAAATCTCTCTCCGTGGCTTGTAACAATCATAAAAACCCAACATATTGCTTGAACAAGTCAAGTCATAAGGCTGAGGATTACCTCTGAAACATACAACTAATCAATTTAAGCTTTTAAACCCCCCAAATGGTCATTTTAAAAACAGCATGTAAGAGTAAAATATAGATTTTTAAAAGCCTCAGCTTGCATCTGAATACAGCAGGCTGAAGTTATGAGATAATGAACCAAATATTTCCAAACTCTGAACATTTGTTTTAAACCAGAATACATTTCTGCTACCCCACAGCATTAGAATGAAAACATCTGCCTGTTTAACAGGAACTAGTTAAGCAAATTGGCCTGGTTTTAAATCACTGGATTTAAATAAATTATCAGAGGTTAATTAGACTAAATGGGCATTTCATGTGCTTGTGGCACAAAGAAATGTTTTGCACATTAAATTAGCATATTTCTTGTAATATAAGAAAACAAAATCCACCAAACCATGTTACCTGTTAGTGATTTTGCTTATGTCCAAACATTCACCAACGATTAAAAAAAATAAACTATATTTTACGCTTATTAAAAATATGAACATTAATTGAGCTCAAGTGCAAGAAAGCTAACCAATTCAGAAATTCCTGGGGCTTTTCCAGTACTGTCAGAGACACCTTTTATCTCACATGCTATTTAAAAATACAAATATCTACTAAACATTCTTTGTGATGGTGTTTTGCTCTATAGCTACAAAAAGAAAGACACAGCAAAGTAAAAGGTCCCTTTTTACTGAAAAGTTTCAGTATCTGGTCAAGAGCTTCATAGCAAGAACTTCTACTCAATCTTTTCAATTCACTATAGCTTTGCCCCCCCCCCCTTTTTTTTTTTAAGACATACATTCCACTGTCACAGGTTAATGTATCTTGGTAACCATCACAGGTTAATGTATCTTGGTAACCATCTTTTTTGAAACAATTTTAAGATGTCGTTTCTGCAATACTGTCTTGTTAAAACACACGGATGCTTCAAGGGTCCAATGAACAACTCTAATAGGCAAAGTGCTCTAATACATCACAATACAACGGCATCTTGGACACTCAATTGCCAAGATGAATTTAAAGTGCACTCCAGTGTCCCAATTCATTAGGATTGTTCAGCAGAACTTTGAGAGGGGCTGGGCTCAGTGCCTTCCTCAGTACTGCTGTCCACATCTTGTTCCATTGCTGTCTCCTCATCATCAAGACGTTGACTAGTAAAGTTATTGAGCTCCAGGAGCCCACTGGGTTCCACTACCACATTGGAGCTGGAGTGACAAGGGATGGAGTATTGAGGGATAGTCTAAAGGAAAGAAAAAATGAAGTTTTAATACATAGTTTTGACAGCTGAGTTAAGGATTTGTATGTTTAAATGAAAGATACTCATGCCTATTAAACCGTTGTAAGAATCCCAGAAACACTTTCCCAAAGTCAACAAATTTTTTTTCAACCTATTGTTACAATATTGCTAAATTAAATGTAGCATGAAAGGATCATTTTGCAGGATTTTTTCACTAAAGGATAAGTTGAAATAATTACAATTAAAGAAAGGATAGTCTTGTGGTTAAGGCTGATGGCTGGGACTCAAAAGATCTGGGATCAACTGCCAGCTCTGCCAGACTTCCTGTGTAACTTTTGACAAGTTACTTAATCTGTTTGCTATCTGGCCCATCTGTAAAATAGGGGTAACACATACTCCCACCCGCTGTATGTTCTATTTAGACTAAGTATTTTGGGGTCGAGACATCTGACTGTTGTATGTACAACATATTGCACAGTGGGTCCCTGAAATTGGTTGGATTAATACAAAGAAAGAATAGATTTAGACTGATAAAAGTACCGCAATAACAAAGGAATACAGTAAATGACTAATCTTTTTTTGTTTTTAATTTCTAGATCATATGGAAAATCTATCTACATTTTAATTATTAAATTGATAATCAGATAGGTATTTTGATTTTGAAATAACCCAGACATCATAACCACACCTAAATACTATGGTGATTAGCATCATATAAATATCTATGATATACTGATTATTTTACTCTACTACATCTATCTCTTAGCCCTCACTCCTCAAGAGATGCAAAATCCTGAGTATTCCTAGAAAAACTACTTAGTTTCAAGGAAAATATTACAAAATAATTCAAAGCATTTGTAAACTTTATAAATAAATCAAATTAGCATATTTGTTTCCATCACAATTACACATTTTCACCATAACAAGTGTATATAATATACAATAAAATCTCTAAGTCAAACACTGCATACAAACACAATGGCATTCTGTCCACTTCTCTGCAATGAGTCACTATCATAGCATCAGAGAAGTGTAGGACTGGAAGGGACCTCGAGAGGTCATCTAGTCTAGTCCCCTGCACTTATGGCAGGATTAAGTATTATCTAGACCATCCCTGACAGGTGTTTGTCTAACCTGCCCTTAAAAATCTCCCGTGATGGAGATTCCACAACCTCCCTAGGCAATTTATTCCAGTGCTTAACTACCTTGACAGTTAGGAATTTTTTCCCTAATGTCCAACCTAAATTACCCTTGCCACTACGTAAGCCCATTGCTTCTTGTCCTATCCTCAGATGTTAAGGAAAACAATTTTTCTCCCTCCTTGTAACAACCTTTTATGTACTTATACTTATGTATAATTAGGGTTCTGTAAGTGAGATTTCAGATGACTAAAATTTCAATGCTTTGACAATACATACTATGGAATACAATAATATGTTATGAAGTATCAAAATAAAACTAAATTTGAATAAATGAACATTTTCACATTTGTTCACTTAGGCCCTGATTCATCAAAGCACATAAGCATCTGCCTAATTTAAGGATGTACGTAGTCCTGTTGACTTCAAATCAATGAGACTTACTCATATGCATGAAGTTAATAATGTACTCAAGTGCTTTGATGAATCTGGCCCTTATTTACTATTTTGCAAAAGGTCTCCCAGTCAGTTCGAATTAGTGAAATTCTACTAAATCTACTTTATGCTGAAGAAAGTTTTACACACTAAAAAACAGGTAAGACTGTTAGACACTGTAAAAAGACATGGCACGAATCATACCTCCATGGTAACAGCAAAAGTTGCATGTTCAAGCATTTCAGTTAGAAGGTGATTTGGAATATCTAGCAAGTTTGGTTTGTTTCCTTAATGGGAAAGCAAAGCAGAACACTTAAAATGCTCAGGAGACAGACAGTAGGAATGCAGTGACCAGCATGTTTGAGAAATTGTATTTAACAACTTATTGCCAATTTAATAAAACAAGTGCCCAACATTTTTATATCCTTAAATCACTTACACTTACTGTTTTGGGATAGAGGAGAACCAAAGTAAGAAAGGGGAAAAAAATACTTGAACATTGTTCAGATGCTATTAAGGCTTTAGACAGGCAAACCTAGAAAATATCTGCTTTAGTTTTTTTTCCTTTATTTGCTCTGCTCTTCTCTTACCTGGATAATAATTTCAGATGAAATCTCTTCAGCTTTCTTTTGGGATATATTCTGAATGTGTATAAACTGGTTTGTTGAAGGCACTCCTTGTGCATCCACTTTCTTCTCTGTTAAAGCAGGATCAGCAGCAGGAGGACTTGAACAGGACTCTTTACATTTCAGTTGCTGAGAGATGGAAGTTGCCGTCATCCCTACTGCAGTCACCCTTGGCACCTGGATACAAGGTGATGATTCTGCTTCACTAGCGAGTTTACTAGTGGACATGGCTTTGTTTGGGGGATCCACTACCATATGTTCTATGTTTGTGTCAATCTGAGCTTCCATCATAGACATTTTCAAAATGTCTGCTACTGCTGTCTTCACAGATGCCTGCATGGGTAATAGGCTTGTAACTGGCGATGCCAGTTTGGGCACAGAATTGCCGCCTGCTACCTTTGAAACAGTAGGAGGCTGTCGCCCCTCAAAAGTTATCTTTGTAACAGTGGATCCTTGAGTTATAATTGGCTGCTGCACCTGAAAATCAAATTTTTGTTGTGCATGTTACAGCTATTTTTTTATTTAAACCTAATCAATATTTATCTGGACAATACGGCACAAACAACATACTTGCTATTAGGAAGACAGTTGAAGCTCAGTGTTTTAACAAAGGAATCAGCAGTGATACGATAACATTTAATTGAAGCCTGGGGAAGGTAGTTTTTAGACTGCTAGACAATGTTTCTAGCAGAATATCACAGCAGCCTCATTTTCCTTTGGGATTTATATCCCCATGTGATGTATATTAATCCCTTATTATTTTATATATGCTTCATGGGGCAGGGGAGTAGTAGGTTTTTGGAGTTAGTTAAAATACATATATAGTATTTCATTTTCCTCAGTCTTTACATCTTCCCCTCCCAAGGAAAGTAAAATTGCTCCTCTGGGTAAAATTATTTAACTGAAGGGTGATGGTGATGTAAACTACCAAGGAAGACGTACAATGGAGATCCTTGGGAGACTGCAGTGTATTCATCTTTATTTCTAAAGAATTTTTTTTTAATGTTACGGGAACGGAAATCAATAATATGTTATACCCAAAAAAATAAAAGAAATTAGGGGCAAATTCCATGCACTGTTGGTTGCAGAAATTCACAAAAAACTGTCTAACAAAATTGATTTGTGAGCTCTATGGATTTTTTCCCCTATATAATAACATGTGCTTCTCTTTCCTAGTGTCAACCTTCTGATGGGGAAATTAATACCAGTGTAATGAGGAGTTCTCTCTTGCCAGGAGAAAACACAGCTACAGCAACTGGGTTGGTGTTTGGATTTTTCCTTGAACAGCGACGTTTTATTTTGCATGCTATCAATATTCTGTTACCTGGCTTGCGGGCTGTTTCTCTGAAGAGGCAGGTAGCTGCAATTGACTCTGGGGGGGTTGGGGTTGCACGTAGATTTTTTGTGCCGTTGGTGCCTGTTGCAGTTTGGGCAGCTGCTGCGTGGTTTTTACTGCAAGCACCTGTACTACAGTTTGCTGTGGCTGTGCCACTAAGGTAGGGAGTTGCCTTTCTTTGGCCATCATGTGGTGTGGGGTGTGCTGTGCATCTGGTTTGGTCTGTGCTTGCTCTTGCTGAAGTGGGGTTAGCTTTTGATGCCGGATAGAAAGCTGGGGCATTTGTGGGAGTTTGTGCTGGATCTGATCAGCCTGCAGGTGGATGGTTTGCTTTTGTTTAGTCTGGAAGCACTGCAGAGTTTTCACTTGCAGTTGAGTCTGTTCCAGCTGTGGCTGACTCAGTTTCTGCTGTTTTTGTGCCTGTGACTGCGTCAGGGCAGATCTGTAAAATAGACCAGTCTGAGGATCTAGGGTATCCATCTCTTCCACTTCTCCTTCCTCAGTTCCAAGCTGTTCACTGTGTTTGGTAAATGCAGTGTGGCTGCTTAAAGCCTTAATAAAAAAAGTTACAAATGAAAAAGTAATGAGACATCATCTAATTTACTGCAGAATACACAAATCTAGTGACATTACAGAATATTTAAACTGAACTGTTTTAAAAGCAGAATAGGTCACAGGATTTCAGGCATACAACTCATGTATAAAAGCAGAAATACCCTAAGATGCTGAGTTCCCAAAGCCATAGCACTTCAATGGCTATTTCCATACTATAACAAACTAAGCCCTGGTCTGCCACCCACTACCTGCCTTTTAACTGTAGATGTCTTGCTCTCAGTGGAGCTTAGGTTGCTCTTACATTTGAAAGATTAAGATTCAGATCACCTCAAACTCCATGTCGTCTGAATGGGAAATGGAAGGGATTGGCTGATCCAACAGAGATCTTAGGCTGGTGAATAGATGGTTCCTAGGTTTAACAAGAACCTCGTATCTTAAGAGAGATTTTGATTCTGTTTCCTAACACTGTCTCCTCGGATGCTTCTTGGTGACTTATTCTACACCACTTTTTACACCTGGAACCTGCCCCATTTCCCATGCACCAAAGCATCATCTCTCCCTCCTTTTCAGACCCAGTTCTTCCTGGGTTGATTTCCTCACCACTGCCATGTCTGTACCGTAATACGCATCAAAACTACTGTCCCATATATCACGTTTGAGTTGGACTAAGTTCCTTAGGGGGCAAGAACACTGTCTTATTACACAATCCTAAATAACTAAGTAGCCTCATTCAGCAAAATTCTACCTCTACACATGCTCTCTGCAGAGGCTTTACAACAAACCTTATCTAAATATGAAGTATATAGAAAGTGAGTGGTGTACATTTACCCAGGGGACCTCACAAAATTAGAGTAGCTTTATTTTTGTTACTGCTGACAGATAACAGAAATGCTAATTCTTGCATTAAATAAGAAAATTAAACTATTTAAACAAGAACACACCAGAGGATACTTCCTCTGCTTTTTACTGGGTTGTCCCTTTCACTTGGGCTGTTCACCACACATTTTAAAGCAGTTGTGACTTCGCAAGTTGAGAATTTGCCAGAGGTCTCTGCAGTTTGGCACCTTACAAAGTCAAGCTCCAAATCAAAGGCATCCTGCTTCTTTATTGTCTCCAATTCTACTCCTTTTCCTTCCTCTGCTTCAAGACAAAGGTCTTGTCTATACTACAGAGTTTTGTCAACAAAAGTTATGCCGCTTTAATTAAAGCGCTGTTGTATGTCCACACTGTGTTCCTTGTGTTGGCAGAGCGCATCCACACCAGCAGCTCTCACATCAACAGAGAGAGAAGAGCACTGTGGATAGCTATCCCACTGTGCAACTGGCCACAGGGTGCTTTGGGAAGGGTTTGCAATGCCTCGTGGGGCAGGCACAGCATCATGTGATGCAGGTTTCTCAATCCCATCATTCCATGGGCATCCTACTAGATTGCCAGCTGCTTTTCAACTGAAGTGTGGGTGTGTGTCGGGGGAGAGAGAGAGACAGTGTGTGTATTGGGGGAGGGTGTGAGTGTGGTGGGGGAGTGTGTATGTGAGAGAGACAGAGTGCGTGTTGTGGGAGAGTGAGTGTGTCAGCATACAGTCTCCAAGTTCAGACAGCAGCTGGAAACATCCAGTCCTGAGGCACAGGGAGGGGGATACCCCCGACATCAGCCCCCACCTCCCTCCCCGCCTCTGCACAGCACTGCAGTCTCTCTCACACACACACACACACACACACACCCCTTCCCCTGCCTGCCACTGTGTTCCTAGTGCTGGGGGAGAGCAGAACTCCATGTTAATCATTTGCTTTTGCTGCTGGCATGCTCAGAACTTCCCGGAACTTTGAAAGGGGAGAGCCGCATGCCTGTGTAGTTGGAATGCAGGGCAGCCAAGTTCAAAACAGCAAGCGGAGGCATCATGGTGGGCATTGTGGGATACTGGGAGAGGCCAGTTATGGCGACATAACGAACGGCAGCGTCTACACTGACGCTTTGTCACTTTAACTTTGCTGCAAAAAGCTCTATGTCTCTTGTTGAGGTGGTTTTATTTTGTCAGTAAAACAGGAGAGTTTTTCTGCCTTTTGCTGACAAAACTCTGTAGTGTAGACAAGGCCTAACATAGAACCTTTAGGGCCCTTCCTCCTTTCATTACTGTGTACGAGACAGGCAAGTCCTACACCGCTGTCAAGTGAACTCCACACAAATGGAGAGGGATCATGTAGGCAGCAACATCCTTTCAAAATGGCCAATAGCAAACATATAGCATATATAAAACAATCCCTCTACTTACTAGACAAGGTACATGAGGTAATACCTTACTGGACCAACTTCTGTTGGTTAAAGGTACAAGCTTTCAAGATAAAAGATATTACCTCACCTACCTTGTCCCATGTCCTGGGACCAACATGGCTACATCAACACTGCAATCAATTATAGAAGATGTTCTTAGATAGTCTTTTTTTTTGTCCCACGCTCAAGGAACAGCAACTCACAATGGGCCAAATTCTGTTCTTATGCTTGGGTTTCCACTGACACAAACCAACATGACACGTGCATTCAAATCGAGACCTGGCCCTACATAATTCACATTGTCTACTTATGTTCACAGAGTGTGTGGAAAAGAAAAGGTACAACCTGCTGCATGATATGGGTAATTGCGCCTGTGGAAGATGCAGGGATAGATTTCACCACAACAGAAGTCTGTGTTGCTGTCTGCGACTGAGCCACATGCTGCAGCAGAGTCCTCTGGGGCTGGGATGATGGCTGGTGGGGCTGAGCCCGATGACTGACTGAAAGGAAAGAGGTCAATGGCATTTCCCCAGAACTAACTGTAGTAGCTGAAGCTACTGGTTTGTTGTTTTACCTTCAAGTGAAAGCAAATATGGATGAAATAAAAATCTGAGTATGAGATAAGTCCTTTACTGTATGCTAGCTTCAATCTTAAAGTGTAAATCTACTCTGAGAAGGATCTTAAAAATAGCATCATGGCGTCTGGTGTTTGTCTGAGCAAGTGTGTGCTCCGTTTGAAAATGTCCCTCGCCTCCCAAATGCTAGTCCTGCAAACTGAATTTGTGCTCAGAGTCTCAAGCTGGGTTCTTTCATACATCATCAGTATGGACCATTCTGAAGTCTGAATTATGCTGTTACATTTTTGCAACTCCATTGAAAGCAATGCGGTTGCACAGACATAACTGAAAATGCCAAGATGTGATTACAGAAAGAAGGAGAGAACTTTAGGACTCTCAACCCTTACATTAAATGTACAGGGCTGGCAATTAGAAAGTGTTTACTTGTAAAGAACTTGAACAAATTTGCTCAGAAGTCAATGAGACAACAAACATGGACCCATCATACCTGTTTTTAGAGTCACTTATCAGAGTAGAACCACATCAACTTTGGGGCTATAGTTTTGGCTCCATAACTAACAAGATGGGTGGGCAGAGTGAAATAGTCCTAAAGTCAGATAATGATTTATTCTATTATCTAACAAAGCAGTCAACAGCATAAGACAACAGCATCAATGGAGATCCCAAATTAGCTTATACCAACTCATACCATTAAGTAGATATTTGCTTTAATTAGCTTATTCCTAAATGCATCAGGTACTGGAAAATATGGTATGGTACTGGATGGATCAGAGGAATATGATTATATCCAGATGAAACTGACAGTGACTCGAAGTCATTCTTTTCTGGGTAGTTAGAAGGGAGGCCAAAGTTTGGATGAATGTGGAAACTTAACTTGCCACTCCTAGAGGGGGTTGGATAAAGTCAGCATTGCCTTTCATGCTGTACCAGCTATTAGTGGATATCCCCAACAGTTTCTACAGAATTTAAAACTTCATTTAAAAATAAAGTTTCTAACCTATATGGTTGTGAAGAAATTCTTCCGAATGTGAACCAATACAGAGTTGTCTTCCTGAGTCTGCAGACAGACAAAAAATGATAATACTAAGAGTTGTGAACTCCCCCATTCAATTCAATGGGTGTTAATACTGAAGCCCAGCAGCTATTTAGATTTATTTAAAATGTACCTAAACCTTTGCTCTAGGTGCATGTATAAAAATTCACAACATATAAATGTCAATATAGTACATTATTTCACTGCTTATCATATTAGGAGAAAATCCACCTATTCTGGGATTAGTGGCATACTTTTTTGTTTCATATACACATTCAATGACCCCCGTTCCTTAAATTCAAGTGGGAAGGAACTGGAGAAGTAACTGTAGTTGTATGCTGTTACGAAGGCTGCTGCTGTCCAACCCATGATTGGTTGCATTTAATTGGTGGGAAAAGCAAATGACCCCTACCATGCACATTCCCTGTAATTCTGTAAATAACTTTGAGCTCTGTAAAAAAAACAACCAGTTTTAAGTTACTGATTATTGTAAGTTCAGGGAAGCGTTCATTGCTGTTGTCTGGTATCCTGGATCTATAGATAAAGAGGATTTCAAACTACACGAATATTGAACGGGCATCTTTTATAAGTACTGATTTAAAATATATGTATAGTTCAACTTGACTTTTCCAGTAGATCTTGGAGGAAACTGGAGACTCGAATACAAGGTACAACACACAGTGTATGGTGATGTCAGGGAATATGACTGATCTTTAAATAACTGGTGATCAGTTTAATAATGTTATAATGTACGCTTGCTTGTTATTAAATACTCATCATACTACTTGTTATCCAAACAACATTTTAATATTAAGTCAATGCTTTCCCACCAGGGATCCATGGGAGTTATGACTCTCTCACTCAGAATTGAAGCCAGATACAGTAGGCAGTATAAAAAAAAAGTCCCATCCAACTTAAATCTGGATAGCAGGGGGCGAAAGTGGAGGGGAAAATGAAAAATGGAAATACCAGATTAGACGTTAACAAATACTAAAAACACTGAAATCATATTTTAAATATATTTTAATATAAACAAGCTTTATCCTGTTTTTAAACAGACATTTTCACCACAGTTAAAACTTAATTGGGAAATGCAAAATGCAAGCATGTAGAGTATTAATTCAAATGCTGAATTTAAGAAGCTAAACATACTAACCCTTTCACACTGAATTTATTAAATGGTGCAAATGTCTAGGGGCAGATGAGTGTTCCAGTTTGTGGGAGATATAGTTTAATTAGACACATGTCCAGAGAAAAACACTGAAGGAGTGGGGCAACATGAGGACTAGAAAGATGTTTTAGACAGAGAGTAGGTCAGTTAAGGCTAGGGAAAGCTGAATCCCAATAATAAGTGTGATGTGCCAGTTTGAAGCATTAATTTGGCACTGCAAAATGAATATAGAAAACTTTATTAGCCCAAACACAAAATGTACTTGCCCACTATATCATAAGGATGGCAATTATAATGGAAAATGCCCAACTGGCCAAAAAAAGGCTATCTGCTCAGTACCGGTAAGTGAGTTGAATTCCACAAAGTTGGGTGAACTAATTCTGCCAGAAGTCTTTTACCCTTTCACAACAGATAAGTCATATAATGAGAATCCCGAGCTTCATTTTCTACCTTTCCTTCCCAAGAGTTTGCCCCAAAGACATCAACAGGGGCACTTTGCCCTTTTACCACCAGATCAGAGTATGTTTAAATGATTTAACTTGAAACAATGACCTTTTGTTTCATTTTACACCAGAAACAGATAGATGCACATTCTCTGACCTACCAGGGAAGAGCAGAAGCATCCCATGCCCCTTAATATGTCCTCAAAGTAGGGGAAGAAGACTAGCATGAATTTCCTTTATAGAAATACTATGAGGAAAGGAAGACAGAAAATACTGTTCCCCTCCCCGCCACCACATGCAACAATAAAAAAAACAACAACAAAAAGGCTTTCCACTGAAAACCAGCCATCCTAATTCTAGTATTCATAGTATGTTTTTGTAGCCACTTACCAGTTGTGATATATTCAGCAACTAATTCTGATTCTACCACAGCAATGGAAGGGCTTTCTGGAGAATGCCTCTTCTCCTGAGTCATCTGAATAGGAACTGCCATTTGGCTCAGGTCAATGGTAGGTTGTCTTGGTTTTGATTCTAACTTCTCCTTCACTGCTTAAAGATATTTGGGCAGAGGGGTGAGGGGAGAGAATGCACCTTTTAGTAAAATAGACTCCAACTGAAGTTAAATACACAGAATGATAAGAGAATCAAACCGGCCCAAGAAAGTGGGACATAATCAAGATATACTGTACATGCAAACTGAACACTTGTAAGAGCAAAAATACTGAATTTTCGTCTAATAAACAATGCAGTTGGCTAACATGATTCAAAGTGATCCCAAACACCCACACACCTGTTGTCTGCTGAAGTTCCAGCAGTGCTTTTATTGTAGAAGTAGCTGATTGCGATTCATTGGATACATCTTGATAAATTATTGTGGGGCTGGTGTCCACAGCAATTTCATGTTCTGACCAATCCTGACTTCTAGACGCGATCACGTGAACGACAGGCTGGGAATCTGTTACACAGAAGAATGAGGACAAATCAAATCAACCAACTGCAACATTTTTATTCAGTGTTTATTACAGGCGGAGCTGGTAGCAACACCTATTGTTAAGGTTGCCTAAATTTCCATTATAAAATATTATTTGCAGTTGCTTTTAACTTTGCCAAATTTTAACCATTCAAACTGAAGTTTTTCCGAGTGTCTGCCTCAAGCTGACTTTTTTTGGAAAATTTCAGCTGTTCACATATTCAAGTTATTCAGTATTCAAATATTGAACAAAACAAGCCTTAATTTCTTTAAATTTGATCACATTAAGTTCCTTGAAAACCAGGAGTTCCCAAAAAACACTATCAATGTGGAAGGAAAAGTTACTCACCTTGTGCAGTAACTGGAGCTCTTGGAGATATGTCCCCCTGTGGGCGCTTCACTTTGGGTGCCCATGCGTCCTGCACCTTTGATTGGAGATTTTTGGAGCAGTGCCTGTTTGCTCTGTGTACGTGCCCTACACATCCTAGCACCCTGTGCTGAGGCTATATGGCGAACCACTTTCAATTCCTTTTCCACCAAAGTCTCCCAAAGGAGATTCTGAAGCAGAGGTGGAGGAGGGCAAGTAGTGGAGCACCCACAGGGAGACACGTCTCAAAGAACTCCAGTTACTGCACAACGTGAGTAACCTTTCCTTTTTTGAGTAGTGTCCCTGTGGATGCTTGACCTCAGGTGACACCTAGGGAGTATCCCCTAAGGAGGCAGGAGATTCGGAGCAGAGTCCAATATAGGAGAGAGAACTGCATTGCCTACAACAGCATCTGACCTTGCAGCAGGCACCAAGGCATAGTGATTAGAGGTATGAACAGAGGATTACATTGCCGCTCTATTGATGTATACAATTGGTACATCCTTAAGTTAGGTTATAAATGCAGATAGTACATTCCACAGGAGCACTATCAGTCTCACAGGGGGCTGAACATGAGTTCGATCATAACAGATCTTAATACATTCAGAGATCCACTTTGATAACCTGTTTTGAAATTAACAAACCCTTGTTTCTGTCTGTGATGGATACAAATTGTCTAGCAGATCTTCTGAAAGGTTTGATCTTATCTAGGTAAAAAGCTAATGCCCTCCTCTCATCTAGGGTACGGAATATGGCTGTTTCATTAGACCAATGTGGTTTTGGGACAAAACATGACCTTAGTTAAAAATCTTGGATAGGCCCATAGTGATAATTTCTCTCTGGTGAACACCATAAATAGAGAGGGTCTGCCATTAACAATCCCAATTCTCCAACCCTTCAGGCAGAAGCGATAACCACCAGAAAGGCTGTCTTCATTGATAAATCTAATAGAGAACATATAGCCAGTGGCTCAAAAGGATGCTTTTAAAAGGCAATTAAGGACTAGGTTTAGATCCCAGCTAGGCACAGAATCTCTTATTTGTTGGGAGAGATTTGACAAACCTCTAGCTGGGTGAGCAAAAAGCCCTCTATGGGTGTGTGAAAAGCTGTTGTTGACACTAAAGGTATCCTAATGGAGTTCACAGAAAGACCCAATGTTTTCAATTCCAACAGGTAATCCTGTGCTAACGGCAGCAGCATCCTGAGCCCTGGGCCCTTTTAAATCGCCGGCCCCAGAGCAACTGCTCCCTTTGGGTCCCCTCCCCTCCCCTGGTCCATTGGTGGCTGCAGTTGGTGGGGGTGAGGTGGGACAAAAGAGGCAGGGACATTAAATGAAACTGTGATGCTTCCACCACATTCTATGGCCAATGACTTCAGGCAGTTTCAAGAACTGATGAAGCAAATTGCTGACCTGTTACACATTCCCTTAGAGGAGGTTCAGGAGTCCAACTATAAACTCCTAGATATTTTACACACCTCCACATCTATGAAGATTCCCATTCTGGTCAAGGAAGCTCTTATGGAGCCTGCTAAGACTTGTTTGGCAAACCCCAGCTACTGCACCACCTACCTGCAGAAGTATAGATAATAAGTATTCTGTGCCTGCCAGAGAATCAGAGCTTCTATTTTCTCACTCATCTCAAAATTCCCTGGTAGTGAAGGCCGTTAATGAGTGTGGTAGACAGAAGAGCTCAAAGTCCACCTCGTATAGTAAGGACCACAAGAGCCTCAGTCTTTTTAGTCGCAATATTAGTAAGAGGTGTCACCTCTTTACCACCCTTGTTTCTTGCTCCTCAAAGATCTCCTCCTTTGGCATAGATGATGATAGAGGACGTTGAGAAGAATGGGCCCTTCTCTGCTCCCTCCAGCGGTATGGAGACGTAATTGAAAATTGTCAACAACAGAATGCCTACAGGCCCCAGCAAGACCACTGAGAGGGGCCAAATGGCATAAGTAGAGGCATTCATCTGTGTTCCCGCCACGGGTGTATCATTTGAGATCTACCCTCATGAAATATGTCAGTGTAGGAGGGAGAGCGATGTGACCTAGAATACCCAGGGGAACCCAGGACCAATATTTGAGAGTCTGAGGAGCGCTCTTCCACATGCTCCAAGGGAAAGGGTGGGGAGGGGAATAGTTGTTCTGCCTGCGAAGTAGGCAAGAGTGCATATGGTACTCTAGTAGACAGAGGGGTCTGTGACTGAGAGAGTCTTGAAGCTGATAAACCCCCAGCACTTGTTAACAGAGGAGACTCTGGTTCCAAAGATGTTATCAGGTCTTCAGGCTACCTAAATTTTTGCAGGACCAAAGGTATCATAGACTGGGTCAAGTGAGAACCTGTGAAGGATGGCTTCAGTACTGATACAGTTGGTACCAAGTGCTTGGCATGGGACTGAATAGGCCCAATCTGTAAACAGAAAGTATATGAGCAGTCTTTGGTACCACTGACTTTCTAGTGTTATTCGGGGATGGGCTTAGCCTTTTTTCAACTGCATCTCTGCCACTCTAGGAACTCAGCACTGACTTTGGCTTAGATGATTGACTCCTCTTTGCCTTTGCAGTAAAGACGCTCCCCGGGTTACGCAACTCCGGAATGGAACTCTTGCATAATTTGGGGAGCGTCTGTCCTGGCATCACTGCATAGAACTCCCCTTGGGACCTGAGGTCTCCATAGTCATCTTGTGTATTGGTGACAGATTTTCTTGGAGATTTATGCCTTGCCTCCTTTTGCTTAGAGGCAGATATTGAGATTAATCTCCGCTGACCAAGATCTTGATGTGGACGCTGCACTAGTGGTACACCAGGAGGTCTATGTACATAGGTTCCTCCACCCCCTGGATCCGAAGCTGATCATAAAGCTGGCTCCATTATCAGGAGCTTAAAGTTGATTTCCCAATTTTTTGGGGCTCTACCACTGAAGGAAGTGCAGATCTTGCACTTACTGGAGACATGAGCACCACCCAGACAGTGGAGGCACTGGGAATGCCAAGACACTGACTGGAGTAGCCTCACGGCAGGATGGGCACCTTTTGAATCCCTGGGAGCCCAGCACTGTTGAGCAAATAAACAAAAACTGATCCCCTATGAAGGGGAAACATCTTAACATCTAACTATATCTATGAATAACTTGGCGCAGGGGTTGGTTTTTTTTCTTTTTTTCAGTGAAAGGAAAAGGGGAATATCTGTTCCAACAACTAAAAACACTAAAAGGTCACCGACTATACGCTAACTAGCTAATTGTTGAATACTAGAGAGAACAAGCACAGGTAAACGCCATCTCATGTTGATTGTGGTTGAGAAGGAACTGAGGGGCAGTTTGCCTGTGCAGCCTCTTCTAGCCTCGGCGTGGAGCATAAACACATGTGAGGCGCCCAGGCGGGCCCAATGGGAACAACCACCAAAAATCTCCAATCTAAGGCACAGGGGCACCTGAAGTGGAATGCCCACAGGGACACTACTCGAAGAACAACAAGTTTTAAAAAGTTACATTGAAGGGATGAATGGAAGAGGAGGGCGGCTAGGTATATGAAAAAGATAAAAGGTGTTTGCAGATAAAAACTGACCATTTTGCCTTTGTCTAAAGGACATGTTTAAAAATGTTACAATGGATGCCACTGCCCAGGTTAGCTGTGGATCAAAGGAAGACCTGAACAGTATGATTTTTTTTAAAAAGTAAATTATTTTATATTTAGGGAACTGATGATTTTGAGGTGAAAAGTAAAACATTTCTGATTAATACTACATACTTCTCCAGAATATGTCATCAACAAATCTCAAAGTGCTTTCAGAAGTTAATCCTCAACACCCCTGCAAGTAGTAATATCCTCATTTTTCAGATGGGGAACGGAGACATGGGGTTACAGGACTCACAGAAAGTCAGTATTTAGAAGCAATTCTCAGGAGTCCTGATCTCCAGTCACCTAACCAGACCAGATGACCATGCATTTAAAACATAATAAAGAGAAACAACAGGGGAGGGATAGCTCAGTGGTTTGAGCATTGGCCTGCTAAACCCAGGGTTGTGAGTTCAATCCTTGAGGGGGCCACTTCGGGATCTCGGGCAAAATCAGTACTTGGTCCTGCTAGTGAAGGCAGGGGGCTGGACTCAATGCCCTTTCAAGGTCCCTTCCAGTTCTAGGAGATAGGATATCTCCATTAATTTAAAATTTAACAGGTTATAAAAAAAACTAGCTTCCATCTTTGGGAGAGGAAATCAAAGATTATTTAGTAAACAAAGTGATGATATTTACCCTGGGAGCTCTGGGAGGACTCTGTAGAAGAGGAGCTGCTATCAGTGTAGCTCTGTGGTTCTTCTTTCACTTCTGAGAGAGAGGCGTTTCCTGCCTCTGCCACCCTGGATGCCTGCTGCAATGTTTCAGTTACCAACTGCCTTGTCTGCTCACTCACAACCGTAGCTTGAAATGTCACTGGCTTTGGTTTTATGAGAACCTAATAGAAAAAACAATGTCTCTATTTACAATAAGAGCACTCAAGAAAGGATCAAACATCTATCAAAGAGTTTCTTGAGCTTCAATTGCACACTGTCTCCTGATATGTAATCAAGACAGCATATACAACCCCTACAGAATCCTCTTTTTGTATGTTCCTGTCCATACAGAAGCATGGCAGATTCCTACACAACCAATTAGCATCTGTGAATACTAAGAACTATATAGATCATCTAATTTAAAGTCTATTCTTAAGGTCACAAGCTCCTGATTATTATGCTATAAGGAACTAATCCAGTAAAGTACGTAAGCATGTGCTTAACACAAATGATATATGGGATTGGGCACGAATTTATTTAGACATGCAACAGGTTTTTCTAGTCCTGACCAATTCAGATAGATTCTGAAAGCCTGTATATGAATATAACTTTCTTTCATTTATCGATACAAGATTAAACGTGAACTCTGTTTAGACTTAGAGTGTCCAGAATTAGGATAGATTCAATAACATAGGGTGCAGAGGGCTAACATACTAGTCTTTTAACTCTGCAGTCTAGAGTTTATGCCTAAAATTAGAGTATTCACTTAAAGTTGAGAAGCCCAGTGACCATATTACGTGCCTCTGTACTACAGCTGTCAATCTGTACTCAATGGCCTAGGACCAGAATAGCAGGAGCCAGGACTAAGGTTCATTAGAAGAATTGAAGTTTGCAAGGACCTTGCCTACTTTGTACTTGGCTCAAGCCACTGCTATTAAGCCATCAATTTTATGAGCACTAAATTCATACATAAACATAACAAAAAAGGTATCAAACAAAGGTATCTTCACCGTACCTAAATTCCTACATCTAATCACATCGGATTGTTTTGAACAGGTTCTGGCTGACAAAAGGAAGATAAGAATTACCATCTCAGAACAGACTAAGAGTCTAACTACTCTGATATCCTGTTGATGCCAGATGTTTCAAAGTCACTCCATAGGGCAGGATTCACCCTGTTTCTTCCCAGTCCCTCAGGTTGACAGATTATGGAGAGATTCCTCCCATCTTTCATGGCCTCAAGCCCGGCTACGTATTTTCTTTAGGCTACAGTTGAAAGCAGTAGCTTCCCTTCAGGAATATGAGCAGCCCTGAAGAATGAGGTGATTTTTATTCCACACAAAATGTGTTCTTAAACGTGCCCATTTTTAACCATATATGATTTCCCTTACTACTCTGAAGCAGTGAATTCCACAAGTTAGTCATACATTGCTTAATAAGTATTTCCTTTAATGTTTAAAATGTGTTGCCTTTTAATTTCATCATGCACTTCTTCTATCATAAAACAAAAGACTGAAAAGTGCCTGACTGGCCTTCTCTATATATTTCTACCATATAACTATATCTCAGTCCTTTCAATCTCTCCTCACATGAAATAACCTTCCCTTCCATACCTGTAATCCTCTCTCCTCCTCATTGTAGCTTCATGCCTTATCTGATTTTGGGACCTTTGTTGCACAGAATGTTTGTTCAACTATATAAATCTTCCTGAATGATTCAATCTTAATATATTCTGCTTGAGCTTTACAAATACAGTCACTGGCCTCAAAGCTGAGAGTTGGGCTTCTTCCCCTGGAAAGTAATATGCTTAGATACCCATCTAGAGTGCTAATGGAGCACCAAACTGCCAATCTATGTTAGGCTCCAGGGAGAGACTTACGTCATGAAGTGCGTAAGATACACATTACTATAACCAGAACAATTTCACCCCACACCAAAGGCTCTGAAGTGCAAAGGACTCTCAACACCATGAAGGCTTGTTTCTCTTTTTATAGAAATCTAAGTGTGTTTCAAAAGACAGAAGGAGACCTTGCTGTACCTGTGTTTTCCCTTGCTGCCCATAAACAATTTTGGTTGGGATGATTTTGGTGGCTGGCTGGACAGTAGATCCTATTCCTTTCGGCTGTGTGACAATCATTTTTGTGATGGGTCTGGTTGCAGTGATGATGGCAGGTTTTGCTCCTGCTGGCACTGCTTGAATAGTTTTCTCTCCCTGAAGTAAAGGCAAAATGTACATGTTAACTTGCAATGCAATTTCTTCAGTGATATAGAACACCCTCTTATCTAAACAGATGTAAAACTCATGTAAGAGGCAGTACAGTGGCTGCTCTATAACATGCCAACCAATTTCTTTCATCATCAGGTTGGTTTCAAGGAGTAGGTGCATTTAATAGGAAGTAAATTCAAAAGCCAAGTACAAAAATATCTACTCATTTAACCTTACTATAATGAGGAGGCTGATGACGAAAGGACTAGTAAGAGTTTATGTGGCGTTAAGAAAAAACTCTCTTTTCTGGGAAAGTAGAATTTTACAAGAGGTTTAAAGGTATACTCAAAACTTTTAAGAGTTGTTCTTTGTCAGTAGCAACATCTTAGATTATTAAAATGGACAATACTTTCATATTTTATTTACCTTTTACAATTTATGCTGTTATGAATTTATTTTGGTTTCCACAATGAAACTAGTTTGGCCAGTTTTATTTCTAATTCTTGTGTGGCTTTCAACAGTGCAAGGGAATGTTCACTTTTAATTTGTTAAGCACATACAGATGCTATATAAGACACAGCTATCAAGATAATCTCTGCTTCAAAGAATTCACAAAACAGAAAATAGAACCCTCTGCAATTCCTTTGCAAACATGCTTTAAAAGCAAGTTAAAAAATACCAAATCTTTATTAACATTAATTTTTATAAAGAATTTTACCAAATCTAAATCTGGAGTTTACAATGTTTTGACAGTTTGTTCCTTTAATCTATCTTATGTTATTATGCCTATCACCGGGGTATCCAGTACAGCTGGTCAGGAATTTTCCAACTAAAAAATTTTTTTTTTAAATCAGAAAATGCCGATTTGTCAAAATTGAACTTTTTCATGGGAACGGTTCTATTTCGGCGAACTTCCAATGGACCCCAGGCAGACCAGACTCTTGTTAACTTGACAACAAAAGTCTCCTCAGTTTCACTGCTGCCATTTAGTGGTTGGCAGCAGTAAAACTGTCAAGAGTCATTCAATTTTATTCAGCAGCTGCCAGGGCTTCCAGGGTCCCTGGCTCTGCTGCAGGCGATGCTGGGGAGCATATTTTGTTTTGGAACATCACATTCTGGTGTTTCCAAAATAATGCAGGATTTCAGTTTAGTGAAAATCTGAGTTTTCAGCTTTTCATCCTAATTCAGGATTGCCGTGAAAAGCTTAGAAGGAAAGGGTATATTTAAACAGATCTACAGCCGGATATAAAATTTTACAAACGACATTAAATGTGCAGAATATTTGAAAAAGGACCCTCCCTTCACACATTGGATCAGATGAGATCCCATTCTCACATTAAAAGAACTGGTACAAGAATCCAGTTATTTTATATGGCTCCTTCCTTTTTGGACTGGACAGCCTCTGAACCCAGAGACAGCTGGACAGGGAATTCAAAGAAGGAGAAGATATGAGGCTTTAACCCAACTTTAACAGTCCCTAGTGAGCCTCCGCTTTTGTTAACTGCTCTAGTCCCTGACCTAGGCCCACGCTACATCTGCTAGACAGCTAATGAGAGTTCTGCTAGCCAGGACCACTATATGAAACTAAGTTTATTACAAATAGAGAAAGGCAGAAGGCAACACACACTCTTACTTGGTCTATGGATTCTAGACTTAAAACTCTTGCTTACCCCAGCATTTAACAATGTTGTAACAACATTTTTGCCTGGAAGTCCTTGAATAGTTGTTCCTTTTCCAGTAGTCTTTTGCACAACAATCACATTGGGCTTGGATGTCATTGGGATTGTTGTAATTTTGGTTGTAGTTCCTTAAAGCAAGTGGGAAGAAGAGAGGCTTGGGTTAAAAGTGATGATGCTCATTTATTTTTATGTATATATTTCATGCAACTCTAGAATCTTTATAAAAACGCTTTGGGTGCAGCATAAGGAAGATAATTAGGGCTTCTGATTTTCAGTTTTAATCAGTAAACACCAATAAAACACCCCGGATACAAAAAAATAAAATAAAAATGAAAACTGTGTTTATCCAATAAACACTGGAAAAACACCAGAAATGGATACTTGTATATAAGGGCTTGTTTATATAGAGCAGTAATACGGACAAGGGATGTGACTTCGAAAGCATGCTAATATGTTGCACATTATGTGGTCCAGGTAGACCTGCTGGTGCGCACTAAAGGTTCCCTAATGTGCTTTAATATAGTGCTACTATGTTAAAGCACACTAGGGGACATTACAAAGAGATTCATTACTCATTACAACGTGTACAAAGAGAAAGTCCTGAACCTCCCCGATTTTTGGAAAGCTATATAAAAACTTGAAAATTGCTAAACAAACCCTGAAAAATGAAATTGATATAAACTGAAAAACAGAAGCCCTAAAGATAATCCTACCATCATGGCAGGTTTAAATACAACTGAAAAAAGTTAAACTGCTAAAGAGACGACATTTAATGCGTGACCTGAAGCCAAGCATGTAGGGCGCACAATAACTGCAGATCCTGTATGGGGAGCACAGAGCTGAACAGTTTTTAAGGTTGATACAAACCAAAGGACAATTTCTGAACAGCTATCATGGAAGGTACAGGTACAAATATTATGGTTGTGTGCATTTTTCTTTGACATATTCTGTAAATATACACATTAGCTCCAGCTCTCAGTGTTGCAAATTTTGGGCATCCCTGTGCTAAAAGAAAGTTGTCTACCAAATAAATTACTTCAAATAGAAATAAAGATTGAGAATTGTAGATCAAGCAATTCTATCTGTAGCAGATTTTGCAAGAGAAAAATCAGAGTTTACATCTTATAAAAGGGAGGTTTCCCATTCAGGAGAAAGCTGTTCATATGCTGAGAACACATTAACACTATTTTCTCTCTTTTCCATCAAGGGAGGTTTTTACTACGGCTAATGTATGGGAATACAGAATTCTGTTACTGGAATTATAAGACAAACTTTTGGTTTCTTTCACAGCATTTTTTTTTAAAAACCTCTTTCCTTTTGAACCCAGAGTTCAGAAGACATTTTTCTACTGATGGACTTCTTGTTCTTCTTCCCTCCTACCATATAATAACTTGCCTTTAGTGGCTTCTTGTTTATTTACAATGACCCTTTCTGAACAGCTTCTCACCATGGCTAACAGAACATACAAGTCACCAGTGGTATCAATCTGCCCATTTTAGTAATTACTTTTCTGCTCAGATAACTACCACTTCTGTTTTTCCCTAAAAATAGTTCCAACTCTCTGGAAATACATCACACCTAGATGCTGAAGTGCGTGCCAACAAAGAATCCTGGTCATCAACTTCAACCCATCATTGATACCTGGCAGCTACTTCATAACACATTCCAGATTTAAAAATACATTTAATTTGTACCAATTTTGAGAAAGGGAAATAATTCTAAGATGGTGAAAGTAGGGTTTCTCTCAATTCTAACCTGTTATGAACCTATGAAACCCCTAGTGAATGCTCCACTTAGATGCCCTGCTCAAAACCTGCATTATTTTCAGCACCTCATGTCCTATGCTCCCTTGGAATAAAGGCCAACTACTGATCTCAAGGGCACAGGTTGGTATCAAAGGACAGTGGTGCATATGCCATTCTATGAAACCTCCACTAGATCCATAATTCCCTCCACTCCCCTGCACCTACCCTCCTCCTTCTGACAGAATTAAGTAAAATAGCTT